CCTTGTTTACACGGCAAAATGACAGACAAGTGGAGAATCGCCCAAAAATAATTAGGAGTGTCATACGAACTACTGCATTCTTTCCGAAACAACTTCCTAACGAAAACGAAAAGAGATATGAAACTTAATTCAATGAATAGAGGGACACTTGCTCATTCAGTTGCTACCAGGATTGCTAGATTTAGACAACTCACAGGTCGTTTATGCTGAGATATATAGAGCCTTGTTCACACGGCAACATGACAGACAAGTGGAGAATCGCCCTAAAATAATTAGGAGTATCATACGAACTACCGCATTCTTTCCAAAACAACTTCCTAACAAAAACAGATGTGAAACTTACATCAAAAGATAGAGGGCCATTCACCCATTCAGATGTTACCAGGATTTTTACATTTACACACTTCTCAGGTCCTTTAAGCTTGGATATATAGAGCCTTGTTTACACGGCAACATGACAGACAAGTGGAGAATCGCCCAAAAATAATTAGGAGTATCATGCGAACTACTGCATTCTTTCCGAAACAACTTCCTAACAAAACCAGATATGAAACTTCATCAATGGATACAGAAACATTCAATTATTCAGATGCTACCAGGATTGCCAGATTTAGAATATTTTCAGGTCGTTTATGTTGAGATATATAGAGCCTTCTTTACACCGTAACGTGACAGACAAGTGGAGAATCGCCAAAAAATAATTAGGAGTATCATACAAACTACTGCATTCTTTCCAATCAACTTCCTAAGGAAAACGAGAACAGATATGAAACTTCATCAATGGATACAGAAACATTCAATTATTCAGATGCTACCAGGATTGCCAGATTTAGAATATTTTCAGGTCGTTTATGTTGAGATATATAGAGCCTTGTTTACACCGCAACATGACAGACAATTGGAGAATCGCCCAAAAATAATTAGAAGTATTATACAAACTACTACATTCTTTCTAAAACAACTTATTACGAAAACGAAAACAGATATGAAACTTACATCAATGGATAGAGTGACGTTTGCCCATTCAGTTATCACCATTATTGCCAAATTTAGACACTTCTCAGGTCATTTATGCTGAGATATATAGAGCCTTGTTTACACGGCAATATGACAGACAAGTGGAGAATCGCCCAAAAATATTGAGGAGTAACAAACAAACACATGCATTCTTTCGAAAACAACTTCCTAACGAAATTGACAGCAGATATGAAACTTACGTCAACGGATAGAGGGACATTCACCCATTCAGAAGCTTCCAGGATTGCCAGATTTAGACAATTGTCAGGTCGTTTATGCTGAGATATTATAGCCTTGTGTACACGGCAACAAGACAGACAAGTGGAGAATCGCCGGAAAATAATTAGGAGTATCATACGTACTACTGCATTCTTTCCAAGACAACTTATTACGAAAACGAAACCAGATATGACACTTACATCAATGGATAGAGGGACGTTCGCCCATTCAGATGTCACCAGGGTTGCTGGATTAAGAATACTCACAAGTCATTTATGCTGAGAAATATAGAGTCTTGTTTACACGGCAACATGACAGACAAGTGGAGAATCGCACAAAAAAATTACGAGTATCATACGAACTACTGCATTCTTTCGAAAACAACTTCCTAACAAAATTGAAAGCAGATATGAAACTTACGTCAACGGATAGAGGGGAATTCGCCCATTCAGATGCTACCAGAATTGCCAGGTTTGGAAAATTCACAGGTCGTTTATGCTGATATGTATAGAATCACGTTTACACGGCATAAGAGCGACAAGTGGAGAATAGCGCGAAAAAATGAGCACTACTGTCAAACACATGCATTCTTTCGAAAACAACTTCCTAAGAAAAATCAAAACAGATATGAAACTTACATCAATGGATAGAGGGACATTCGCCCATTCAGATGCCACCAGTATTGCTAAATTTAGACAAATATCAGGACGTTTATGCTGAGATGTATAAAGCCTTGTTTACACGGCAATATGACACAAAAGTAGAGAATCGCGCAAAAATAATGAGTAGTACCATCAAACACATGCATTCTTTCCAAAACAACTTCCTAACGAAAACGAAAACAGATATGAAACTTACATCAATGGATAGAGGGACATTCGCCCATTCAGATATCACCAGTATTGCTAGATTTAGACAATTATCAGAACGTTTATGCTGAGATAAGTAGAACCTTGTTTACACGGCAACATGACAGACAAGTGCAGAATCACCCAAAAATAATTAGGAATATCACACGAACTACTGCATTCTTTCGAAAATAACTTCCCAACAAAAACGAAAACAGATATGAAACTTACATCAATGGATAGAGGGACAATCGCCCATTCAGATGTCACCAATATTGCCAAATTTAGACAATTCACAGGTCGTTTATGCTGAGATATATAGAGCCTTGTGTACACGGCAAAAAGACAGACTAGTGGAGAATCGCCCAAAAATAATTAGGAGTATCATACGTACTACTGCATTCTTTCGAAAACAACTTCCTAACGAAAACGAAAACCGATATGAAACTTACATCAATGGATAAATGGACATTTGCCCATTAAGATGCTACCAGAATCGCTAGATTAAGACAATTCTCAGGTCGTTTATGCTGAGATATATAGAGCCTTGTGTACACGGCAACAAGACAGGCTAGTGGAGAATCGCCCAAAAATAATTAGGAATATCATACGAACTACTGCATTCTTTCGAAAATAACTTCCTAACGAAAACGAAAACAGATATGAAACGTACATTAACGGATAGAGGGACATTCGCCCATTAAGATGCTACCAGGATTGCCAGATTTAGACACTTTTCAGGTCGTTTATGCTGAAATATATAGAGCCTTGTGTACACCCTACTGCTCGAATTTACATGTACATGGTCATTTGGCATTTACACAGTAAGACAGTTTATGGGGGCACATAGTAAGGGTAAATTATTCATAAGGATGTGTAGTCAACTGTTTCTTTATTTTATCATAATGGGTTTTGACTAAGGTTCATGTACATGTATTGCTACATAAGGTGTACTTCTATTTTCTCTATCCATTGTAGCGAACCGCTGACTTGGGACCTGGAATGGGCTGCCATCATTAAGGGTAACGAATAAAAAGTTCAACTTCTGGGGAGAACTGTTTCCACGGGCCAAGTTTTTCATCAGTGTGTTTACACTTGCGTTGTGTAATTTAAGAGGTTACAAGGGTTAAAGTGACCTAGCCTAGTGTGACTGTGCCCAAGTCCCGAGTGGTGCTTGTGTCGTTCAGGGGCTCGGTAGGTTGAGGGGCTAATTGGTGGTGCAGTATAGTTCCTGATAGGAGCTTGCGGTCGATGCAAGGGCGGATTGCTATCTCGTGACGTGGTTGCGTGTAGCGCAGCCCTAACAATAAGCCCCGTAGACTTGCCAAAGTCCCTGATTCAGCACCACAATTAATTGTGGTGTTCGCTGCTCCGGGCGAATTCCGGTCACGTATAATCACACAGTCTCCCCTTCAATAGCGCTGGTGTATTGGTTGAGTGTGTTGATGAATAAACCCGCCGCTTGTTAATTGTTGTACCATCAAAATTGCTTTAAAACAATTCCCCACCCTAAACACCAACATGGTCAACCACTCCGCTTAACTGCAGTACTGTACTGTACTAACCTTGATGGCTTACCCACCTGCCCATGGAGCTACGATCTGCCCAAACTGCTAACTCTCCCAAACCTTGCTTTCTCAGTGCGAGTCTGTGAACAATATCACGAAGGTGTTCTTTCATGTAACTGAGGCCCACCAGCGCTCATGCATCAGTTTCGAAGTCATCATGCAAGTCGCGCGGAGAATCAAAGCAGAAACAACTAACGGATATGGAGGTCACATCACGGGGCTCACAAGCATGAACATGACCAGGCATTCAACCATTCTTCCATGGTTTTACAAAACAACGGAATGAACGCACCATAAAAGCTCCATCACCGTGCAAAGGACTGTTTCGCCCTCTGTGATAGCTGCAATGCCGAAATTTCCAGAACTGACCCCACTGAACTTGGTCGTAGGCCGGTATGTTATGTGGGCCTTCGTCCAGAAGTTATTTCGGAGTCGGAGCTGACCACGTACGTTCGTGTACGAGGCAGCCACGGTCCGGATAAACGTGTGCTTCTCTCTGTACTTGGTTTCGACCATTGAACACACCATGGTGCACTGATGCTCCCAAATAATCGTGGACGTTAAACAAAAGAATTAATGACCACCCACGACTCCCGATACGTCCACGATTGCCAAACGTGTACAAACCATATCAGAGGCCATCCAAAAAAGTTGAACAAAAGGACAATAGGAACATCCACGATTGCCAAAAAACACGTTTAAATGCGTTCATATCGGGACCCGATGGCACTCAAACTTTTCTAGTCCAGATTTGACGATGGAAGAAAAAATCCATTTCAAACTGAGGGCACTATCCAAAGTGATTGAGACTTTAAACAGAGAAATTACATGCAATAGATTCCGAGTAAGACTAAGCGACTTTCCGCAAACACGGTTTCAAATAGGACATCTGAGGTTTAAGATTTGAACATAAAAACATGCAAACTGAAGTGTCTCCATTTTTACTTCACACTAATAGCACCTTCACTTGTCTTGAAAAGCTTGGTCAATTACGAAAAAACTTGTTTTAAAAAGTGCACTTTACGGTTCACCTAACTCCAAAAGAGACTGAAACTAATTCTAAGATCCAATGCATGGATCCTTTGCAGAGAGGGCTAAAATCAAGTTGAAACTGTCTCTTGTGTTAAGGGTACAGTGTCCCAATTCAAGGAGAATTCTCCGCCAGACAGAGACGCTTATAAAGTACCCCTGCAAATTCTTTCGAAAAGAGGGGTCTGTGTGGGCCAAGAAATTGTGGGACTACATTTAAGTATGGCCCAGGATCATCTGTGTAGATTTAGGGGCTCCAAACTGTAGGCAAAGCAGACAAAACTGTTATTGAAAAATTGTCAGGAGAGCTCGAGAAAGGTGACATTGGCTGTGCATCTGGAAAGTTTATTCAAAATAACAGTTTTTACAATCATGATTTGAAACATCTGCTTTCAAAATAGAATTGTTAAAATTAAAGGAAAGTCAACAGCAAATATCTGATAAAATCGGTTATTCCTGAAGGGATTTTTTAAAGCAAATTCAATAAAGTCCTAAACTCATGTAACAGCTATGACAGATTACTAAAGAGTGAATTAATTCATACAATACTTATGACCCGTTGTGAAGACGTATAAGACTCCCAATAAATCAAGATCTTTTCCCCTCACATGCTCCCATTCTTCCCGATTCTCCGTTTGTTCTTGAATTGCATACTATGCCATGAACAGTACAGCTGTGCTGAATTCTAAAAGCTACAAGAACTGGAAAGACTACTTCAAGTTGATGTGCCATTACCAAATATTACAAAGAGAGAACAGAGTCCTACATTGTATTTTTTATATCACAGGATCATTACTACTCAGTGTAAGTATTTTTAAACTCAAAGACAGACTCACAGTGTTTACAGGAGTCAATTTTGATCTGTGATATATTTATTGTGCAAATCTGCACAACCATTTTGCACAAGCTGTTAATATGCATTAAGCTTGTAGGGCAGGAGAGAATCTTTGTCACTTGCTCGTGTTATGACCAGAAGTAGATACATATGAAGATTGACATAATCACAGGTGACTGGATGTTGAAATCCTAGCCCTTTGAAATGTAAAATTGTATCAAGCAAGTTTTTCATATTCTGAATAAGAAACTTGTGCAAGTCTACAAACAATGTAAAATAAAATCTGCAGATAGTAAAGGTGCTTTGATTGTTACAATGTTCTCTGATCATTTTTTTAAAATTGTTGGTAAAGAACTTGTGAAAATAAAGCACAAACCGTAAGCGGTCTACATCCACACAGGCTGACTCTTATGCACTACTCCTGTTTCCCTGTGTTAGTACTTGTTAGAGTGAAGTTGATGTGGGACAGTCTTTGGCACAAAATAGCAAAAACCGTACAGCCCATTCTAGACCGATCAGGAGAGAGTAATTATGTAGATAAGAGTGGCAGACACTTCTTCCTAAGTTTTCTTTGCTGAGGATGTCTAGGTGTCCCATGGACACTTCCTAAGCTATTTTGCACATCCTGTTGGACTTATCAAAACATTGCCGATTTAAGTTGATTTGGCCACTTCGTGTTCAGATGCTAAATCTCACCTTCTTCTGTGAGTTATTGCCGAGTGCACTTGTAAGTTACAGAACAAGTATTATAAAGGCCTTTTGTAGCTTATTCAAAACTTCAAAACTTTTGACAGAAGCATTACCCAGATCATACAACACACCTCTGGCTCTGAATCACTGTGTCATTCTTTCTCTATTTAACCAACTTTGACACTGCTGTCATCAGCTCTGAAAGATTTTAAGAGAGCCATCTTTTAAGCTGAGTAACTGTAAGAACAGGGAGCAGATCATGGACATCCAATTCAGTAGCCATCATCAGCTTCAGGAGCCTATGGTGGAGACACTGTCTATGTGGAAGAGCTTCTAGCTCTGTGCTCAAAAGGACAACTATTATATTGTTTCCAATTCTGCAGACACTGTCTTCAGCTTGGAGGGGTTGTGGTAGAAGGGGTGGTTGTACTATCCATGCTGAGAAGCTGTAGGGTTTCTGCTATCAGTGGAACTGTAGACAATTTACTGTTGACTCCCACTGTGAAAGCTTTCTGCAGCACTACTTCAGCATTCTCTGTCAGGATTAGCAGCATGTTTAGATTAAATATAGGTCACTTTGAAATTGATTGTTAATTGATCTTGGAAGTTAAAGTGGTCTCACCAATGACAAGCGTCAGCACTGTGACTTTGAAACAACAAAACACATTTAAAATTAGACGTTTCGTGTGAAATGTCAACTCTTTTCTGTAAATATTTGTGATAATAAACTTGATTTGGATTTTTTATCACAGTCTCATGATGACTGAACCTGCATAAAGTAACCAACAACAATCAATATTCATTTACAGAGGAATTTGGCAAAAAGAAAGATAAAAGAGCTGCAGAAAGACCATTCATTTGATTAGAATGCTAGCCAGTTCTGGTTTTGCCATACCTTGGCAGAGCAAAGTGAACTCTGGTAAATTCTTTAGCGCTGTCTGCACAATCTCTTGGTCCATGCTGTTTAGACAGTCCATGTAGGCTGGCAGAAACTTACTGGCAACACTGTGTAAAGCAGAAGCAATGTCGGCTATAGAGTGGAATTCCTTCATAGCATACTAGCAATTCATTTCGAAGGCTTGAATGTTTCCAGTGAGAACTAGCTGTTTCCCAAAATGAAATGTGTATGCACAGGACAAATGTTCCCATATGGAAGAATGAATCACAATTCTAGTGCCCAGCACATTCACAAACTGGACAAGTAAAATCAATTGACAACCAGTCAAAGTGCAGTTTATTGGCTGGTACCGCAGTTGCTCCCAAACTGTACCCCAAACTTCCTCAAATTCTCCCATCACTCTTTGTGGGAACAGTATCAAACCCTCATCAGAGGAGAAAGCTGGAAATAATTACACTTTGGTGATACTTAACAAGTAAGCAATATCGTTACACTTTCACAGATGTTTTATACTGTTCTATATAAATCAAAATACTGCCAAACACAGTGCTAAATTTCTCCCACATTCTTCTATAAATGTTGGGGTAATTCACCAGAAATAAAAACAAACTGGCCAGCATTGACACTATCATGGCTATTAACCACTACCAGCCGGGGACTCCGAAATCGGAGCCG